GCAATTGAATTTCAAACAAATACAGAGCAGTCTTCATGTGCCATGATTTGAAACATCACGCGCTCGGTAATTTATACATCGTCGGGAAAAATATGACGCGGAACTAATTCAAGTTGATGATGGCCAACAAGAAAAGGCGGCAGTCCACCGGATACACACGACCAGATTGTTGCTAAACGGTCGCGTTGAAAATCCGCCAACTCAAGTTTATTTGTCTGTTTCCGTTGCGTCGGTCTATTGACGGTACTGATCTCGTGTACAGTAAACCTGAGAACGAAACTTCCTATGTACATTCTGTATACATACTACTCCTCCGGACTGCCAATATAACAAGTGTGAAAACAACGAAGTCAATGACTTCAGTTTTCATATTTCCGTCACAAATCGGTAAACAGAACGTGTATTTCCTATTGCCCTCAAATTTCGATATAATATTGACTAATTGGTAGAGGTGACAATGAAAAAGTTTACTGTAAATTATAAGTACAGGTTATTACATGGAAATTCTTGTGATAAAATAAAGAAAAGTCGCCGCGACATCACAGGCTTATCTTGTAACCTGTTTACCGACACTCGTGTGGAAAATCAAAATGTACACTATAACAGCCTTGTCTTCCGTGAAGCCTAGCCCGTATGTACACGGGTGGTACGGCTTGTATCTCGTGTGAGATTTGAGTTCTTGTGAACTGGTGGGTGAAAGTCAGGTTGACCTAACAGTCAATTTCAAATGAGCGGTGAGGGGGAGAACAGCGTTCTGTCAAAACAATTTTACCGTAGACTAAATTTTAACGACCAATCTGCAGCGTTGTATTTATTATAAAATAAGAATTCAAAAATAGAATATAAATACACACATACACTCAGATTACATTTTCTAGACATATATACGACGCATGAACGAAAACGATCTATTGTATTAAGATATGAATTGAAACTGCCTGTGACGTGTTGTCTGCCAGTGGGCACAGTTTCGTCCTACAGTCAATTACAGAAACAAAAACTGATTTATTTTCTTATGCCAAGACCTGGTTGTTCATCCATTTCAAGCATGGCGTATTTATTTCTTGTACTCTGTGGTGTGTGCTGTGGAAACATCTGATTTCGCAGTTTTGAGCTGTCGAAGTATTTCGCGAAAAATAAAACAAAGGGGAACACCATACGAAGCAGTCAGGCCAATGTCTTGTTGATATCCGAAACTTTGAACCTCAAACATAACGGTTATTTCCTGCACGCCTACCAGTATTACACAACTACCATTTGCAGCTCATTGCAGTCTGACACTTATTCACTGTACCCCTTCCTTTTTCCAGACTGTCTAGAAAGTTATACAAAAAGTTTCATCCCTTAGAAAACATAAGTCTTTGCCGTACGATCAAAAGAAAAATGTCCACATAGTAGTAACCAACATCGTTCTGGCGTTCCTAAAAAAAGTTTTTAAAAAACAAACACTGCATTGTTTAGTAGCAAATAATCACAGTAGCGCAATCCGACCATGCTGCGTTTCACAATCAGACCATGCTGTGTTTCACAATTATTATTATTACTTGGTAGTGATTATTAATAAAGTACAAAAAGTAAATTCGTTGAATTGTTCTGAAATGCAAGTAAATTTCAATTTAGTTTCATCGTAAGCAAATGATTCCGGTCGCAGGCAAATGCTCGACGCCTTATAGGGCAAATTGCTAATCAGCCAATCAAAATACTCTGTGATGCCAACTTGTTCAAATTACCAACACGGAGGAGATTTGCTGATGTTCCAACACAACCTTTTACCTCTGATTTTGATGGGGAGACGGCACGTTTAATAAAAAAATTAGTTGTTTTCGATGATAAACTGACCATTTGAATTTAACATTTTTACGATGATAACAGCTCATTGTCGAAGCAAGCTTTACCCATTCACGCTAACCACAATAAACATCGTACTCTTGAATAGGCGTCAATGACTACGGTTAAATTCGTAAGATTGTGGATCAGGAGTGAGTGTTGTTTTGACTTGGGTATTGTGTTTTACATTCCAACAGGAAATTTTTGCGTGGATTTAATTTCGCACTTTTGGACTCACCGCGAAATTAAAACCACGCGAATGATTTCTACTTCTACAGTTATTGCAATGGATATCCGAAAGCGCGTAACATAATGTTATTGACATTGTTTACTGTCTTACATCGTCATGTCCCAGTGTTACCGATGGTTAGATCATGGTTAGAGGGACTGTGGTTAGACATAGACAAACTACGTGACGATAATGCTGTTTGTAAACCAACAAGCTTTGTAGATTGAATAAACATCTTGGGGATTTACATTTTCGTTTACTCGAACTCTGATTGACAGGCATTTTGCATACATTAGTCATCATTTTAAACTCGTGATTTTCACTGGTCGCGGCACGTTTCAACCGAAAATAACAACATTTATACATCAAAAGCCCAACCAGATGAGTGTAATCGCTAGCGTACATATTCATGCCCCCGTGGATATGTAATTCGAACCACAGCTTGATCTCCAAACATCGTAAATGGCACATTTCACGGAGCTCCCGCCACGATGTTAGCGGCTTGGTTCGGATTAGCATACTAATACGGTGGCCATCTTGA